ACCCGCCCACACTGAGGCACTCGATGCTCGAGAACTTTCGAGATGCACATTGAGATATTGGGGGAATTATTGAAGCAGAAATCGGCACTCGTGTCAAATGCATAGCGTTGAGCTCGATACGAGTTCGTACCAGAATATCAGAATATTGGAATCAAAAAAACAGTGCCCGAACAACACCCAAATCCGGAGGAGGCCTGTCGTTTTGCCAGCATGTTGCAATTTATTCTAATCGCTTGTCGTACGAAAAAAAAGGACGCCGATGGATGGCAGGCGATGCGTGTAACGATGCTGCACATGAAGTCATCGGTAAACCAAAGCCTGGCAACCCGGCTACCGAGCCAAAGCATACTATACCACACCAAGCCATGCCGGGCCAGGCCAAAAAGGTTGCCAATTGAGTGGCGCCAATCAATCTACTGCTTCTGCTGCTGCTGCCGCTGGAAAGTGTGTCAAAAGCGGGGCCCAACTAAGCCGGAGTGAGCTGAAGAGCGTTAAACTCCGACCGGATGGCGGACTGAAGGACTAAAGGACCGTAGGATCGACGGACGGAACGTCGGACGGACTGACTGACTGTCTGACTGACGGCTTGTTGTGTCGCTTATGGCACTTAATTGACGCCAATCGCATTGACTTGCAGTCACTCCATTCAGCCTCTGCTGATGGCAAGAAAAATCACAGCTCGTTAGTGCTGCGAACATATAGTACGTTTCAGGTCTCTCCATCTCCATCTCGAAACAGGTGAGGGCCTGGCTGGGACGATATTGATGCCAAATTGCCATTCCGGGCTTTCAGTTAGCTCAGGTTGACAAGAAATTATTAAATGCCAGGGGCAGGCGAGGCAGTCACACACAGTTTGTATGCTGTTTTTTAGGAAACATCATACATACTTTGCTTTTCCTTAAGCTTGTAACTCAATATTTTTTTTACACTTTTATGCGTACCGGAAGACTTATTTTTTTTCCAAGACGATTATTGGGTTCCTCTACCTAAAGTTAGAAATACAAATACAGTATCTAAAAATGTACAACCATAGTTATTGAATGGGGCAATCCGATGGACTTCGACGTTTTTTTCAATGCATACTTTTAGGCTTTTTAGTAATGATTAAATTCTGATTGATTTCTTTTTTATATTTTTGTATTAAACGTAGTAAAAATTATACTAGGTTCTGGAAATCACTTTAAAATGGCATTTAAAAGTGTGCCACAATATAATTTAAGCTCAGAAGTACAATGAAGACGACTTTTATTTATTTACTGCATACTTTTAGACACCTAAAATTATATTTAAAAGTGATTTCAAAACCCTAGCGACTTATTTGGCAACTCCATAGTAAATTCCAACACCTTTCTTATCTTTTGATTAGAAACATTGTAAGTGAATAAGACAATTAATTTTAAGTAACTATTAATACTCTAATTATTTAATTGCTTCCTTCGTCTAAAAGCTTTTATATTGCTTTAAATTAAATTATAGTTCTCATTTTATTCGAGCAAAACCGCACTGGCCTTCTTTGAAAGGTTACAGTGGATTCCAGCTGTTCGATTTCGCAATAAGGCATTCATTCGCAAATCCAGCTGGAGTGGCTGCTTCCGAAGCTGCGGCAACCGCAAATCAGTTAAGCCACCAAATCAACGGCAAGCAAAACCAATGTCAGGGACAACTACATGACAGACAACACGAACACAATCGCAGAAGCACAAACACAGGCACACAAGCACAAACACATCACTTACAACCCACTCCCTCCTTAAAAATCCTTAAATCACACCATTGTTTGTGCGTGTGTGGGCGTTTGTTAATGATTATTTGACGCCATGTTTGATTGACGTGCAAATAACGCCTACTCCTGCTCCATGTGCTTCTTCTTCTCCAGCCTCTTATGGCATACATTTTATTATCAGTGTGTTGGTGCAGCGTACTGTGTGTACCACCCACGTTCGTTGTGTTAATGGCCACCAAATACCGCAATAACCACAAGGCACTTATCAATTTTTGCGCCTTAACAAAATGGCACTCGAGCGTGTATTTGTGTGCGCACTTCCGGTGATATCAAAGACACATGTTTGCACATGTGTGTGGGTGTTTCTTTGCAATGGCGTGCCTGCATTAATATTCCGTTAAATTGACATTTACATGATGAAGACGATTATTACGACGGTGACGTGGGTTCAGAATGGTTGCTTTACTTCCCACACCAGACCAGAAACCAGAAATTATTCAAGACCTAATTTATCTTCATCATTGCAATAAGCATTCAAGAGAATCAAGAGCCAAACACACTATCTTTTGATTTCAAGACCATCGAATTATTACAAATGAGCAATGTGTTCTTGGTGGTTTAATGGAATATTTAAAATTCTTAGTGGTTACGAACTAGGAAAGTGCAAAGTTACACATGTAAAAAGAATCTATTTATATTTATAGAATATTTCATTCAAAAATAGTTTTGATAAGTATATTCATTGTGATTTTAACTTCAGATTTCAGAATTTTTTTTTTTACTTGCACAATTTGGAATAATAAACATTAAAATCACTCGACAAAGAACAAAAATAAGCCTAAGATTAAGAAAATTGTTCTTAAATTAAGAACGTTTGGTCACACAAATGAATCAAGAACGAATGTTCTTAAATCAAGACTGGGATTTTCACCTTAGTGTAAAGTTAAAAGTAAAGTTTGTTCAGAAAATAATTAATATATATATTTTTTTGGGTTATTCCATTTTAAATTTGGCTTTAAGACCCCTTTAATCACTTAATTCCAACACTCAATTTTCCCTTGGCGTTGACGACTTCTTTACCCACACTTTAGTGCCTTTTTGAGGGCAGCAATTTTTGGGCAATTTCATTTTATTTTTTGTCTCCGGCGAAGCAACAGACTTGGAGTGCTCTTAGCAATTTGCTTACATTCAACTCAGCCATGTCCAAAATGGCAGCTACACGCTTTTTCCCAAAAACCCCACCGCCCCCGTGCCACATGTGTGTTGGCTGGTTGTGCGTGGAATGGTGTGCGGGTGTATACTTGATGTTGTTGGATAAACTATGTAGAGTCCTTGAAAAACATGCAGGCCATAGGAGCGGAATGCCGGCGGCTGCAAAAACAACGAGCGCAACAAATAGCAAAAATAGAAAGGAAAAGTTAACAGTTGACATAGTTTAGAGTTGCTTGGTCAGACGAGAAGGCTGAAAAGGGGGTCTTCCAAGGGGGCTTCCAAGGGGGCTTCCAAGGGGGTTTCCAAGGGGGTTTCCCAGGGGGGGTTACGACTATGAGTTGAGTTCAACAGCCACAAGCGTAAGCCGTTGAATGCGAAGCGGAACGAATGTCTTAATCAGAGTGCTGGGGAGATTGGTGGCAAACTAAATGAATTTAATTGCCGCAGGATATGAAAGTAATTATTTTGCAGTGCATAGACACAACATGGCCGAAATGGGTGGGCGTGGGAGGCAGAGTGGGCGTGGCAGGATGGCAGGATGGCAGGCGCAGCTAAAAACGCAATGAGGCCAAAGGCGACTTTCGCTGCCTCCCTTTCACTCTTTCACTGCTGCCATCGATGCACTTGCACTTAACTGCAAGCGGGCGTTCAAATCGCCACGCCCACTCCCCCGCCCACGCCCACAACGGCTGTCACGCCCACATGCGATGCACCACTGCCAATTGCCCCGCGGTTATTTTGAGTTGTTCTTTAATTTATTCTCTTTTATGCCTGTGCGTTAGTTGTCCTTCGCCAGCGCATGACTGTGTGTCAGTATGCGAGTATCAGTTTGTACACTGAGAAAAAAGGTGGCTCTTCACAATTAATTAATGGAAAATAATATAAGAAACTCAGTTTTCAAGTGGCCTGTGTTATTTTAAGCAGATCTTAAATATCTTAAATTGTTCAAGGTTTTTAAATAAGTCCATGATGGATTTCAAAGCTGAATGTGGCATCGAACTTAATTTTTAGTAGAATTTTGGTAAAAGTTTCACTTGTCTTTTAAATCCATTTTATTTTGCATTTTACTTTTGGTGAGTTTAAAAATATAAGTTTGGATTTTCAGTCATTAAAGGAAAAAAAGATATATAAATAATGGAAAAACAAAATAAATGATATATTATTATGAATTAGTTTTTTAAGAAAGATGGGAGATCTTGCTTAACCAAAATTACCAAAGTATTGTTTAAATAATACATATAATTATTTTTACACAAGTGATTATTTTCTGGATATAGTATATCAATATTTTCCATGATTTTTTCCCCCAGTGTAGGTGCAGCAAAGAGGCAGCCGGAGCTCTACAAAAGGCAACGATGTGTTACACTTTCAATTGTCGCTGTCCCCCAATACTCCTCCGAGCGAACTAGTGTGTGTGGCTGGGGAAAGTGTAATGCTGCTTGTTTACATGGTGGCACTGTTGTGCTGCCTAGATCAACGTTTCTTTCTGGCATTGTTAGTGGCAGGACCTTGTAACACTTTTGATCAAACACGCACACGAACAAACACACAGCCACCGGTGTAGGCCATATCTAGCAAACATGCAACAAATGAGCGATTCTGCCACTCAATTGCAAGTCCAATTATGAAGGCACATGCGTCTGCGATTGATGGTTCTCTGAATCGCCCCCCTATCAGCTATGAGTTCAAAAACAGGGGGGCAGGGTTAAAATACATGTGCATTAATGGTTCCAATTAAATCGTCCTTTTACCCATCAAAGTAACTTACCCTCAAACGGTTTAAATATGGACTTCGATAACCAAAATTTGCAGAACATAGTAAAATAGTATGGCTCAAATCTACAATAAATATAAAAGTCTAAAATATCCGAGGACTACAATTTCTGAAAGAAGAAAATAATTTAGTAGAACGTTTTACTAGCATTCCTCAAAAAATCATGTGTATCCTAACTATCGTAAGAACTAAGATTGAAACCCCGATATGATATTCTAAACACGATCCTTTTTGTAAATAATAATTTAATTTCATTTATTCAAAAGTTGATTTGTCTAATGGAGAGATTCTCTAATGTTCCTGCTCAAACTGTGGTGATCGCACGTAGACAGGAGCGGGATGAGTCAGTCCATAGTTGCGGACCACCTTGGGATAGGTGTTCGCATACTCCTGCGTGGGATAGCTGGCTGGCTGGTAGGCGGAGGTCTCCTGGCTGACCTTCGAGTACTTTCCGATCCTCAGAGGGTATCCTCCGGGCAGGTAGTACAGTCCCTTGTAGGCTTCGATCAGGCGACTCGCGTCCACCTCCTCGTCATCGAACGATCGCTTGTTTCCGCTGGAATGGTGGTGCTTTGGTGGTGGTGGTGGAGGAGGTGGTGGGTAGGGGAAGGGTGGATAGTAGGGTTGGTAGCCGTAGTAGGGAGGATAGTACGGGGGAGGGGGTGGGTAGTAAGGTGCTGGCTTGGATCCGTGTCCATGTCCATGTCCACTACTACTTCCACTTCCACTTCCATGTCCACCACTACTTCCACTACCACTTCCGCTTCCACTTCCATGTCCGTGTCCATGACCGTGTTCGTGATCCGGTTTTGGCTTGGGCTTAGGTTTAGTATAGGTGTCGGTGCCATTAACAATCAGGATGCAGTTCACTGTGGTCACATCTTCTTCCTCATCGCTACCACTTCCATGACCACTTCCATGGCCACTTCCATGACCACCTTCATGACCACTTCCATGACCACTTTCATGACCACTTTCATGGCCACTGCCGTGTCCACCGCCATGACCACTGCCGCTGCCATGACCACTTCCACTTCCATGACCGCTTCCACTTCCATGACCACTTCCACTTCCATGACCACTTCCACTTCCATGACCACTTCCACTGCTAGAATCGCTGTTTGGCTCGAATTCGATGCTCACCACACGTCCCAACCGCCTTTCCTCATCCTCATCATGATCGAGATCGTTGGTGGAGATCACGCACAGGGGACGTCCCTTTTTGGGCTGATCCTTGGAGCCGGAATTGAAGATAGCTGGAATAAAATTGCCAACGGCCAGGCCGGAAGCCAAGCCCTTGATGCCGGCAATGGAGCTGCTGAGCAAGCGGGCCTCGGAAACCTCCTCTTTGCCCTGGGTGAGCCGGAGGAGCTCGTTGTACTCCTGCCGGGTAACCTGGTGGAGACGCACCAACTGAGGACGATTAGTGCCTGTTTTGTGGATAAATCATTAAACTTCCTCTTCCATCAGGATCAGATAATAGAAAAGCTTACCAGCCTGTACTGCCGCTGCGCAGAGCACGATCACCGCCAGAACTGGTAAGAACTTCATGGCGATTGCGAATAAGCTTCAATGGTTCGACTCCCTCGTTTATATATTTCGAAAGTCTTTCTGTGGCGACTACTTGATGACTTGACGAAACAAAATTCCTTTTCGGCATTGTCATTCAAATGGATCAACCCAAACTACTCATCTACAGTTATAGCTTTGCTCTAATCGACGCAAATCTACATAATTTACGCGTTGACCCAATTCTCTTTAATGTCCACCCTGCCCAAACTTGTTTAATTAATGATTTTATTGCAAAAACACGACTAGCTCGTCTAGTTTCGCAGATTGGATGATAATATTCTAATTTATGGTCTAGCTTGCCAAAGGAAACCGATGGCGCAGAGAACATACTCATACTCTAGACTGCGGATCATTTGTAGAAAACGGTTAGAAAATCATATCCAAGAAATTCCTAGGATCTAACACCCATCATTTAAAGTAAGCCCTAGACTTATATCTTTCCAACCCAACCTTGATAAACATGACCTTTAAATTCAGTTGAAATGTTCTTTATTCTTAGTTATTATACGTTTCTTGAAGGTACAAAGGCTTTTGGGAGTAATAACGTTTCTTATAGCGATAGTCATCTTCATCTTCGGACTCGTATGAGTCTTCATCTGATTCCAGGTCGTCATCAGCCTCGGCTTTCTCTGTATCCTTGATTGCATTTTCTTGGGCCAACAGGGCCTGAAGATCCAAGTAGGGATATCCGTTAGATCCATAAATAGGCGGAGGATAGGGACCAATGGGCGGTTGAGGTTGAGGGTTATAGATGGGCTGCGGGTATGGTCCATAAGGTATCTGTCCATAAGGTAACTGTCCATAGGGTGAAGGTCCGATGGGAGGTTGAGGACCAAATACCTGAGGGTTCGGATAAATCTGTGGAATGGGATAAGGCTGAGGGATGGGATATGGCTGCGGGCTGGGATAAGGCTGTGGATTGGGATAGGTAGTGTAGGGATAGCCACCATAAGGAGGAGGAGGAGGAGGTGGATAGGCAGCTCCATACTGTGACGGCACTGGTGGGTAACCATACTGTCGGGGTTTATTCGATTCTTCCTCCAAGGCGTCTTCCTTTGGATAGGTGCTCTTGTTAACCTTTTTCTTTCTTAAAGGAGCTGGAGTGGTCTCCTCAACGGCGTCATTCTCCTCAGACACTTTTCCAGGCTGGTTGTCAACAGGGGATTCCTCTTCAGGAGTGGATGTCTGAGGTTTATTCCAGTACTGGACGAAGTTTGGATGAGGATCCTGGGTTGGCAGCTCAAAGTCGCTGTCCCTCTTGAGAACCACTATGCAGTGGATTGTGGAATCCTCTTCTTCGGCCTCGTTGGCTGTTCCCGAGCTTCGAGCGGAGGTCACTTCCTCGTCCCTGACCTCGCCCTCACGTGTCTTGATCACACACAAGGGTTCACTTTCAAAGTCCACCTTCTCGGCCTCATCAGCCTTTCTGACGGTGGTCAGACCCACGATCCGTAGAAGTGAGTTCCAACCGGAACTCAAGGACTCGCCTACGGTTGCGATGCCTCCGTTGATCAACCGAGCCTCCGATACAACATTCCTGCCATTGGTCAGCTGCAAAATCCGCTTGTACTGTGCCTCATTGATTTCATATACCCGCACAAGTTTCTCTGTTTTTAACCCAGATGATGGGGAAGGTGCTGAAGGTAATATGATATATAGTGAGTTTTTGGAATGGGTAAAAGATTTCGAAATAAAAACACACACCTGTGTCTAGGCTAGCGAATAGAGCCAGAAACAGAAGCAGGGCTAGTGACAGCTGCAACATGTTCTTAGATCTGGACAACAACGGACTAAAATGCGTCCACTCGGCTCTTGTTTTATTTATACCTTTCGCCAGAATTAATGGCAAGGCGAATAGAAACGAACGGTTCGTTAGTCCCACCAGATTTGGAGATGAATTGCAATTAAGTAAATACTGGACGGCTCCCATCATCATATTTGACGACATCAAGCCAAAGATTTAATTTGAATATATTATACGGTCTCCAAGAAAAAATCACCGAGAGTCAATGAACGCATTACCAGCATTTCTAGTAAGATTGTGTCCAAACGGGTTTTTAAACTAAACCCATGAATGAGCAATTTATGCTACCAGAAGTGATCTGATTTATTTTTTAATATGAACAAAATACAAAGCAACTATGATTTATTCTAAGCTAATGATTTTATGAGTTCTACATGAGCGAACTCAGCTATCATAACAATCCAAGAGCTCTAAACTCACAGAAACAAACACCCAGGCGTATTATCACAAATGTTAAGCTATTGTGGAAAGGATTGAAAATATTAGTGTTGATTTAATATGAAAACTAAGCAGTGAGTTATTATTATATCACCAGTTTATAGAGATCCAAAGACGATAAATACCACTACTTACTACCCAGACCATAAAGAAACTCAAGACGACTTTTTAAATTTTCTAAATTATAATTTTATTGAATCGATTTGGTTTCATTTCACAAAACTCTCGCCTGCAGTGTCCGTGTGTTTGATGTCGATTTTTAAACGATCCTATCTGTTTATGCAAATGTAGGGTACCTATGGATACGCACACATATAAATGATTTGAGAGTACCTGGTTTATATATGTATGAATATACTTTTAGCTGCAATGCTGTGACATACACTCGTACATAATGTATTCGCTAGGGTTTCGTTATTGTGTTTTTTTTTTGTTTTTCAATTTTGAGCCGACTTTTATACTTGACACTCAACGGATTTAGCTTGGTAAATAGCCTGCTCTGATTAATGCTTTTCCATTCACTCTATTTACAAGATGCGGGCTCTGGGTCCAAGGGTCCGTATTAAATTTAACTATCTTTTACTATTATTTGAAGTGTTTTATTTTTATTGTGTTTAGTATCTTTGGTTTTGCTGGTGAATTTGCCAATTTTGCCTCAGTGTGCGGCTTACCAAGTAGGGCGGTTCGCAACTTTAGAATCGCAATTATCGGTTTTATCTGTTTATATCGTTTAAGAGTTAATTAAAATTACAATTTCGACTACTAATGAATTTATTTACAGTGCCTGCACATTCGCATTGCATTCGTATCAATTATATCGATAAGCACAATTATAAATTGCATTTATTTTTAAATATTCCCCTCTTTTGTTTTTGGTTTTTCTCTTTTTTTGCTTGTATTTCTAGCCAAAACTAATTATGTACAATTAAACGAGCTTCGACCACAATTGGGTCAGACACAAACAGTTTATACCATAACTTCGAGTGCTGATGGATGAAATCCAGTAATCGCTCCTGTAGTTTATCCACTTATCGTCTATACATACATTCATAATCGTACTTAACGATAGCTGTTGCCTAAAACTGATAAATGTGCAATGCAACCGAGCCGTACTCGAACGGAAAATCATCTTTTGTTCTTAATCAGGGCTTACTAATAGTTCGAAGTACTCTTGAATTAATTTCTCTCGAATGGCAATTATTTACAGCAAATTTCAACCCAACAACTTGATGCGATGGGCTACTGGAGTGCGAGTTCGTTGGCAGTTAGAGATTGCATAGAATTTGGGTATTGTGATTGCAAAGAACGGGGTTTTCTGTTTGTGTTTCTGGGCTGTTGGGTATATTTATAGCTAGTAAGTCTTATTTCATAATGAAGGAGTGTGGCAGGTGTTACTATGGGTGTGCAATCGACGTTTGGTTGTAGAAAGAGATTATCAGATATCCAATGTAAGTTCTTAACCAATTCTTTATCAACGAATCTATAGTTATTATTGGGCAATCCAGTAAACTGATTGTTTTCATGTGGTTTTTTGGGTCTTTCACAGATGATCAGTTGCTTTTTTTTTCGATAACAAATTTAAAAGAATGCATATAACACATATTATTATCTCTTATGTTGAGTTTATACTGAAAACATTTAGCTAGACTATGATTTCCCACGAAAATGCATAGGTTTCCATCGGACCAGGACTTAGCATTCACTCTTAACACTGTTAAATACTTTTTAGCTTATCAGATATTATGTTTGCTTTTCCATTAAGTGCATTCATCTTAGAAGTTAGTAAGTACTTATGTTTGAACCCCCCATGCGATACATAGAAAACTTAAATCACCTTGAATATGTGTGTGTGTTGTGAGTGTTTTGTGTGTGTTTTTGCCTTTTTAGTGTTTCGCTGCGTGTTGATTATTCCTTCATCTCAGACTCCGAATTGCCGCTGGGCGTTCTCTCAACATGTTGCACGTTGCTGATGTAGATGTTGCTGCTGCTGCTGCAGTTGCTGCTGCTGCTTTTGCTGCTGCTGCATTTACTCCTGTTTCACTGGTCGTTAGCGTTGCTCGCTTCGGGGGCCCAAGTCCCGCCGACTTTGCCACCGCTGCCGCAGCATGGATATATCTACACCCCGCCTCGTAAAAGTGCTGCAGGCAGCAGGACACAATGCTCAGCAGCATGCAGCAGATGCCGCAGTAGAAACTGTTGCTGTTGCTGCTCGAATTGTGTTGCATGGCCGCGGGATGTTCGCCTGTTGAGAAGCGAAAGCAAACAGGCAATTAGGGATGGTAAAACTTTCCCCATATATCGATAACTAGCGATCTTTGATCCTTGAGCTACTAATAGATTGGTTCATTACTTAAAAGAGATTCTAGAATAGTTGTAGTAGGAAAAATTTAAAATTTTGATAAAAATCATAATAGGTTTTTATAGACTTCATGTATGGAAAAATAAAATGTCATTCATTCAAATATCTTTTAATTAAATCATAATATTTAAAATAATTTGTGTTGAATATTATGTATTTGTATTTAATTCAAATGTTTAATACGAAATTTTTAATTCAATTTGCATATATATCTTTTAACTAGACCATTTTTATCAGTGTAGCTAAGCTTCTTTGGGAAATTTGTTTTAATAAGAAGCCAAAACTGTTTGTAAACTGAAATATCAAGAAAAATAACAGCTTTACTTTTAATGAAGGGAAAAAGGTTTTTTATTTATTTATATTCTAAGACAGTTGATAGACTCCACAACTCCGTGTAAGTCCCCGCAGGAAATGAACTAGAATGGAAAACAATTGAAAGGCAGAGCTCTTGGTTCATCGGTTAATTGGTTGGCACTCTGAAGCATTTTCCTGCTACCACTGATTGCCTTTGAGCCGGCTTTTCTCCGTCAGATAACATGGCCCTCGCTGGTTAGCATGCATGCATTTTCCGTTTGTGCCGTGGAAAAGCATTGGCAGCACAACTTGCTATAGTTCTCAATGAGCTCTTGAGCACACAAGCTGCTGCCATAAATCTGACAAGCTCCTTCGAAAACCCCCAATCCCCCCAAGACCTTTCGAAGCCGACTTTGCACACATGGCCCGTGTTATTGGCCTGCAGCTGGGTTTCCAGCTGCAGCGGCAACTAGAAATAATTTCCGTGCTGCTGCACAAATACAAATATGCGGGGGCAGGCAGGCAGGATAAAAAAAAAAAAGAAAAAAACCGGAAAAAAGCCAACAGCAATTTCTCGCCGAGTCTGCTGCAATGCAATTACTGCACGGCCACGCCCCGTTTTGCACTTGGCATTACAAATTGCGAATGTGCCGCTGCTAACAGGCAACTTCCACTTCCCGTCATAAACATGCAAAACTCTCTGACAGCACAAACACCAGGAAAGGTAAGCCCGCTGCCGCGCTGCAGTCCTCGCTTTACTTACCAATAATTACGTGCACATAGACGCTCGAGGTTTTTGCCACCGTCGGCACACAGGTGTAGTTGCCAGTATCGCCGGGCATGGCGCGCTTGATTTTTAATCTGTGCCGCGGAGTACCGGGAAGAGAAAGCACAGAGAAAGTGAATGGCAGTGGGGCAGAGTGGTGTAATGGGAGTGGAAACGGCTGTGGAAATGCATGGGGAACAAAGGTAAAAGGTAAACGGCAAAAGGCCACCGAATGCCGGGCCAAAAAGAAAAAAAACGTCAAAAAAATATACAAAACTTTTGCTACTTTATGCGATAGCATAATGTGTACCGAGTTTCTTACACCACTGACTCTAACTCGAAGTTACTTACAGTGAGGGAAAAAATTAGGCTTTTTAATTTAAATTTTAATAAACAAATTATAAACGATTTATATTTTTAATTGCGATTTTTGATATATACATCAAGTCCTTCTGTCATGTCAATCAGGAAAAATAATTTTGAATAGGTATATTGATAAGTGTTGTTAAAGCCCTTACATTTTAATCCGTTGTTAGATTTTTAGTAAATTAAAATACCGAATTTTTTATGATCATTATTAGTATTTTTTGAAAATGTTCTAATACAAGAAACCGTTGTTATCTTTGTTATCTAAAAAACTTCATTACCGATTTTCAGGGGACTATGTTCTAAGCATTTTTGATTTAAGAGAATTAGTTTATTTATTTTTAAAGTATTATTATTAAGTTTAAAGCATTCATTTCGTACCCTAACATATTATTTTCAGTGACTTCCCATTAATTTTTTCAAGAGACCTGCCTAATCCCTGGGAAAAGCCACTCCCTTTTCATCTCTGTCAGCCGCACCTGCATTTTATGGTCGTCTGCGTCGTTAGTTAACAGCATAAATGGGCAATGATCACGTGGCGGCAGCTGAAACTGAGCAACTAACTACTGCAGACTCTGTAGACTCCGAATCCAAATCCGGCAGTGACTAAGCTCTGACTTTGACTAAGGCAAATTAAAAGTCACACACGGCTAACTCGGGCAAACTGTGCAGTGATGGAGCGAAAGAATGGAGCATTAGAGCCTGAAGATACCCTACGTGGCTTTATTGGGACATAAACGACCCTAATGTCATTAGTAAATGGAAGGGAAAAGACTTGGGTTTCCTGTGAAGTTACCTTTTCATTTGACGACATTTTGTATAGGATAGTACTGAGTTTTGTTTCTATAATAAATTGTTTAGTGTACTTTTTAAAACAACATTATCTCTGGTCCTTGGATTAAATAAAAACTTTAACTTTATCAAAAAATATTTTAACATGGCTGATTAGTAAAAGTAATTTTATGACTTGGCAAACTTTTCCAAATGTATCTTGAGCTTAACTTACATTTTAATCAAGCTATTTGGGGCTTTTATTTTATTCATTATTTTTGAAAGAGTTATTATCTCTTATTATCCTTGTTTCGTAAACGAATTAAACAAAAAGGAATGAATGTACCACAAGAAAAAACTTTAGAAGTATTCTTGGCTGCTTTTCTCTCTTTCCTTTTTGTATATTCCTAGAACAAAATGTTCTGGCTAACCACTATATAAAGCTGCTGTGCGAAAGTTAAACGAAATATTTAGTTATATATTTAATATTTTGTTGTACTTAAGGCTTGTCTTGAGGTAATACTCTATTCCCTGTGAGAGAGTAGCTGCCTGGATATATCCCCGCCTAGTCCACCCCTAGATCCTGTCCAGAGCTCGACCGGCAGAGGGTCCTCTAGCCTGGCCTCGTCCTTCGCTTTGGCCTTAAATTGTCATTCAAAGTCGTGGTCCGTGTTTCCCCAGTCGGCCGGTGAGGATGTGGCTGCAAAACTGCAGCCTAGAGGAACCCGGTGTCCTCCTTAAACACCCCCCCTACCTACTGCGAATGCTCCTGGCACCTGGCACCTGGCCTTAATTAAGTGAGGCGGTATTTTAATGCGAAATAACTGAAATGCTCGGCACACATTTGCACGTTTGGCAGGCGGAATGGCGAGTGCGAGTGCGAGTGCGAGTCGTTACATACCTCGAAGTCAGCCCGTCAGTCCAATCATCCTCGACGCGAATCCGGGCCATGGAGCTGTCGATTTCGTTTTCGCCCTTGCCATCGAGCATTTCGCTGCCTGGAATGCCGAGAGTAGCAAATTGAATTGCGTAAATGAGGTGCAGGTGCTGTAGGCCAAAGTTCATTACGCATACGCACCTTTGTACCAGAATATGTTGCCCAGCTCGTGGGGTCCCTGCATAATTTTACACGTTAGGTTGATGTCGCTGCCCGTTTTCACCATCAGATCGCTGGGCCCGAAGATTTCCGCCTTGAGTTCTGCAACAAAAAAGTACAAAAATTCAAAATATATAAAATGAGAAAAAAGGAAAAAAGTCACTTAAGTCGAAAGTACACAAAGCCAAGTATTTTCCCTCTCTCTGCCTAACAATGATAATAATAATAATGTTAATGATAACGTCCAAGTGCACGTTTGTCTGCCAGTGGAACCAGTATGGGTACCCAGATCCGAGGCTGGGCCCTACTTTATTACACGGACGCGTGTCTCTATTATGCTGGCGATAAGCTTTTGTTATGCCATATAAAAGGCAGTCGGGCATCGTACTCCCCTTGGTACCTGCAGCTCCATAGCTGTTCTCCTCTCAGCGGAATTGTCAGAACGAACAAGCTGCAAAAAAAAAAGACAAAAGCCTGGCAGATTGGAAAGAATTTTCTGCTTTCCATTTGGGCCACAAAATCAAAATGTCAACCATTGAAGTGCCTTTTGTTGTTACAGCAGCGTCAATGATTTCAATTGAGAAAAATCATCGCGGGCAGCCACGAAATGCGATTTGTACTTAAAGCTTATGATGGCTGACAGTTGCCTTAATGGAAAATGTCCCTGCTCTCCAGCTTCAAAAATCCATTTTTCCCCAAAGTGAAACTCTTCCATCGCTGCTCCACTTTCACTCTCGTAAACGGGTAAAGAGGAAAACTTTTCAGGTCCTAAACAACCGCAAAGCCCGTGGTATAAATTGCAGCCAAAGGAGGCGGATGAGGATTGCAACTGGAACATCTGTATATCGAGTTTGCAAACTCACACACTTTCCTTTGTGCGGCGATGTTGGTTGCCATTCAATCGTGTGGCAACAGACGAATGGAACGAATATTGAATGCCCCAGAAATTCAGGGCAAAAAGCGCTGATGACTTTTCCATAACCCCCGCTACCAAGGGAACTTTAAGTTGGCCTTTAAATCAGGCGCCCCAAAAATGTTAATCTTAATGAAATGCCAAGTGGAAAAAGTAATGTACACCGTGGAAACAAAGGTGGAAAAGAACCCCAAATGGAATTCGAACATGCTGGGGCGATTATCTGGCTGTTTTATAGACCCGCACACATATATCTAGTGAAAAAAAGAGGCGAGAAAAGCGAGGAAAGCGGGAAAAGCACGTTGTTGTCGCTGATGGTCGTTGTTGTACCATGCCATACCACATATACTAAGCCTGGGAAAACAATTGTGGCAGCGAAAGCTAACCGTCTATGACTTCTGCCAACCTCGCAGTGCAAGGAGCCGTGGTGGCGAAAATTATTGCCTCCACGGCCCACAAACCTACATATATGTACATGCAGCTGACAACGCGCCTGTGGTTCCCACGAATGGGTTTGCTTTTCCAAGGATTCTTGGTTGGGATGGATGATGAAGCCCCACCAGGTGCGAACCCGCATGACAGGCGCAATAAATGTGGACCAATTTTAGAGGACCTCCTGTGGAAAATTGCTTATTTAACTATAATTAGATTAAGTGGACCCGACAATTGGCGAGCTGCGTTTTGAATGAGGATAGGGGAAATGGGACCAAGTCGGTGGGCTATTTGAAGTTTTCATTAGACCTGGCCGCAGTTGACCCAGGCTGAAAAGTTGCAAAGTCTACATCTGGCCACCTGCCAAAGTCAAAACACCCTCGTAGTCCTTTTCGCCCCCTGTCCTGGCAAACAAAGTCCTTTGGCCAAGTCCTGTTTACACACACACAGCTGAGGCTCAGACTGTGGAGAAATTTTGTGCAGCCGCAGCAGAAAGTGCCGAAACGAAAGGAGGGCCTGGGCTTGGGTTTGGGAAATGCATTTTCATTTTCATTTTTCTTGATTTCGCGCATAAAATGCGCATAAGCCTATATGGCCATAAACATTTAGGGCGATGAACTTTGCAGAGGGTTCGGGGCACAAAACATGGCATACTTTTTGGGGCCAGTGCATCGCAGGCTGCGGGACTCCGGATTCCAGAATCCTTATGCTCTGGGGCTGTAAAAATTTATTACCCTTCGCCTGTGTTGATGCATGTTTGCACACATGTAACAGCATCTCGGTATTTATTGCCCCGAAAAACAATATCAAACTGGGCCGTGCTGAAGGGCGCTTTAAGCCTACGAACTACGACCCATAGCCTATGACCTCTTTAAATTCCGGCCGACAATTAATCGGACGTGGATGCAGTGCAATTGCTTGGAATTAATTGTCAAATCAAATAAGCAAATTCAATTTGTAAAAGTCAACCGCATTGCCAGCACAATTGATGAAGTAGTCCCCGCCCTCCAACTCATTTTCCTGTCAGAATCCTAGTTCTCATCCCCAAAAAAGGCCGAAATGAAATGCCAAAACATCATCATTGCCCGAATCCCCGAGTTTCAGCCTCTTTTTCAGTAGTCTCCATTGTTGTGATTATTATTATTATTAATAATTCGACATTGCTGCAGAGACATTAATCATTTCCGCCTCCGCAGCAGCTCCTTTTTATTCCATTTCCCGGCAATATCTTAGTAATTTATCATTGGGGCATTTTTTGGTCTAGGCATTCGGCGTAGAATGTAATTTGAGCAGCAAATGAACGAAATGGGAAGTAAAACATTTGATTGCCGGGCAAATTGTGCGGCTCAGCGGAGTCCTTCGTAGACCTTCCTGCCACCGCATCCTTGTAACTTATTTATAAAAATTCATTATCCCCTCGGTTGCAAACCCTCTATCTCATGGCCTCACCTGGCCATTTGTGTATTTGTTGTATATATTAAGGAAAGGTAAACTTTTGGCCACGTTTGCTCACAATTTGCATGCGAATTGGGTCAGGCACGAAAACAACTGCAGGAGCAATTTGCTGCTGGCAAGACAATGAGAATCGCTTAACTTTTAAGCTGGCTCAAGTCTTCGCTTCTTGAGCATTCAGTGTGCATCATAATTGCCGGCATTTTCCTGGTTTTCATCTATTAACCTCAGGAAACAATTGCGAAGGCGAAAGCGATGGCGATGGAGAAGTCGAACTTCCAAATTGTGGCTCATAACGATTTCTTTGTTTTTGGCAAGGCCACGTTAATGGATTTTCGTGGCACACAATTATTTTTCCATTCAAGCTGCCAAAGAACACTCCCCCAGACTTGAAACTAATTTAGTGGCGCTCGAGGCAAGGGGAAATAATAAAAGGCACTTCTCTAGAAAGTGTCCCAGTGGAAGTTATTATCGGTTAAGTCATTCGAAGCTTGAGACTCAAAAGTTAGCGAATTTTCATGGTTTTTCCATTGAACGATTTGTTGAAGTTTAACTCAAGCTGAAAGTGATTAAAATTAAACACTGTGTTGCGGGGATTTTCCAACTGTATTAGCAAGATTCGGATATTTTCGGGGTTGCTTGCTAACTTGATTAGACTTTATGTATACTCAAAGTCTTGTTTATAGCCCTTGGTCACATAAAGCTAAGATTTATCTTCCCCTATGGTAGTTTCGACACTTATTACTGAGTACTTCAAATGTGATTTTTACAGAACTCACTGAATGGGATGAAGGTCCTGCAGCCCGAAGCTATTTATTGCTCTTGACTTGCTTATGCTTGAGATTATTATTTTCGCTTGATTGCATGCAATTTGCCGGCTGCTAATGTCAACAGCACCTTGCTGCTAAAGTGTTGGTTTATGGAGCCCGAAATGAGCCATCTACTTGGCATCGCCATCTTGTCAACTACGCATTCAAATTGCCTTCAATTCCAGCTCCTTGTAGATCCTTTTCCTGGCTGCAGCTCTTCCGCTGGTTGTGCAATTTGTTTTCCACTCCAACTTTTTTTCTTTACCTTCCCATCTGAGTGAACTAAGCAAGGTAGCGCTTACGCTTGATTACATTCACGCTGGTAAACAAATTTTTCCAGAATCATCAACAACACCGTTCTCAAAATACCCTTACAGGGGGTAATACCTATATTGTTACTCCTTTGTTATTAGTACATGAAAATTATTAACTCTATAGTATAAGGCCTATACAGTCCTAAAGAAGTATTTTCTAAGGATATATCAATATCTCTCTCACCATACCATACGAGAAACTAGAGCTTAATGAAAAAGTAATGTTAAAGACCATTTAAAATAAATCCTACTTACATAATTTTGTCACACTTAATGTCTTAAATATCATCTGAGGACTACACTTCGGGCTATATACAAATCATATTATAAATAAAGGAATCTAAGCGAACTTTGGTTAAAGAGAAATGGATCTTCTAAATTCATAATAAAATTTAATATTTCATGTTTCTGAGCAAAGTTCGTTTAGATTCTTATGTTTAGATTTCTGATATGCATAAAATCCATATAATTGTAGTTTATATATAGCTCTTTTTGGAAATCACTGCGTAATATGTGTGAGGGGACTTTTAAATTAATTATAAAAAAATATCTCTTGTTTTCTAATATTCCCCTCCGCAAGTGTAAACCAAATTCGGTTTTCCCTCATTTAGCTGGCTTTCTCGATTTATTTTTGTTGGCCCCAGCACTTATCCTGCTCCTCGTCCTTGGGTTGTCACTTCGGTCCTGTTCTCTTGTTGTCGCTCAGCTTGAGTGGGACAGGGCGACATAATTTAATTTACAATTTGCTCGCTTTATCAGTGTGTTTGGTAATTTGCCTTAAATTCAAAATTAAATCGAGTCGGGTCTGAAGGTATCTATGTGCATATAAACATGCCTCCACCGCTGACACCTACTTGGCAGTACCTTCCACCATTTTCCTGTACTCAAGTAGAGTCGAGTACATAAAGTTGGTAATTTAAGCAATTGGAGCGGCTGCTGCAGCATTAAAATGTCAAAAATATTGCGGCCAAGGCGGAAGGCGGTGGGTGGTATCAAGTGGGTGGTGTCAAGTGGGTGGCGGAAAAGGCGGCCCAGACTGAAGGCGATTTATGTTTATGACGCTCTGGTCAACTTGGCGCTGTTTTGTTTATCATCCGCCCCGTTCTACACTTTTATTTCACTCCTCTTATTTTCTCTGGGATGGCGTGTAATAGAATTTTCACTGGCGTCGAAAAGAAACAGCAGCCGTGAAAGAAAAAACACAAATTTATGGAATTTTTAGTGCACAATTTTTTATTTGCATAAGCGCATAAAAATTCTGGCATAACAACAAACTTGTTTGCAGCGACAATGACGGCATACTGGGTACAGTGGGGTCACAATTAAGAGGCCAAAAATATGTGACAAATAGGAAAATATACTCTTTTATGACTAGGCATATATTTTATTATTTCATTTTCATTCAAGTGATTTTTTATTCCTTTCTAATATCAATTTCAATGGCTGAAAAACTATGGATTTCATAGTTTTTCCACCACTGTCTCCACTGACCTGCTGTTTGCTGTTTCCGCGTGAGTGGCATGTCGAATATTTTATATGCACATTTCTTTTTGGGCATTCAAATGAGTTCCCCCCCCCCCCCCTTCTGGGAGCCATCACCGCCCACCAATGTGGGCGTGGCACATACAGGCTATATGCAGCCGTTTTGCAGTCATTTGCATTTCCGCAAATGTAATATTTATGACTCTATGTGTCTGTCTCTGCGGCTCTGTGAGTGTTTGAAGCTGACTTGTCAGCCTGTCAAGTTGCCACACAAACTCATACATAGTTCCCCAGCTCCTGCATGCGTGTAAACTTATATTCAAAGCTCTCGTTCATATTCCCCGGCTCTAAAGCACTAAAAGATTCATAACCGAGTGGGGGGCTGACCAAAGCATTTTATACTGGCCAAAAGTCGTTTGGCCGTGTGGCTAAAACAACATCGCACACAAACATTTTTTGAGAGGAGGGAAATCAGAGATCAAATAAGCTCATTGAGAGCACTCTTCCGCACCAGAAGCTTTTAGCCAAATGCATTTTGCTAATATCAAATGCGATAAAAATGCACCGAACAGGAACGAAACCGAAAACCCACAAACATTGCCCACACCAATTTTTGGGGGCAAGTGTGCTTCCAAGGATAACGTCTTTCAGGATTCAGGACTAAAGACTATTGCCCAGCCATCCATTTCCAATTTGTGATGTATGACAAGGGTTCAGATCCTCCAATCTCCTTCGAGCCAAGTGCAAACTAATTACCCGGCCAATTGGCAAGACAAAGAGGTAAAACACTCGCTCACGTTTAACCCTCAACTTCTACACTGCTCAGCATGCCAATTTGCACATAATCGAATTGAAAATTTTATAATCACGAGGAGCAGAAGAAGGCAGCTTTCTGTGCTGCTCTACGGGTGGCCAAAATGGCTACTAACCGGGCTCACATGCTCCAAGCAGGAGGTCCTGGGCAAATAACATGCATATTGTATGGCTTGCTTAAGCTCTTGAAACCTGCATAGCTTGCTCAAAACTGCTGAAGAGTTTCAAGAGCTTAGCCCATAAAAGTAATCACTTCAGTGGCTTGTGACCAATTTCGGGACAGCCTCCTTTGCCATCTCCACCATCTTTACCTACCATTTCCATTGGCCTACTTTTCAGTGCCGGATAATGGTCGAACTTTTGATTATCTGCCTAGGTGAGATGAGTCATCGGTAATGGTTATGTTATGGCACAAACTGTTGAATATCTGCTAGTCAGCATTACTGAAATTGCAAGGTATAAATAAAAATAGAAAGGGTCGAAGGAACCAACCAGGATTTGCTTTACTCTAAGTATTTATAAATACAGCTAGCTTTTTTGCCTATAGGGATTACGTATAAATAGAAATGCAAATCCTGTTCGCAACCAAAATTGGATATTGGAAGCCTGGATTTTATTAAAAATAATTATATTCTATTTATGTTATTCAAAATTTAGAAGGGTTATTCTTATATTTCTAGCCACAAAGTATATAAAAATAGGAGCAAGCCTTTCTAAGTATAATCCTTTTCGTTAAAAATAAACTTCAAATTTTCTTTGATAAAATATTATTGTAACTTTGTAAAATATCTAGAAACTTGGTTGTTTACTAGAGACCTGTGGCCATTACTCACCCACTACGTTGAAGGTGTACGACAGGGACATCTTGGGCTCCGTGTTGATTTGGCACTCGTAGACGCCGGAGTCACGTGGCTGCGGATACTTGATTTGCAGTGTCCAATTGGCGGAGCCATCGGGTCGCAGAACCTGCGGCGGAATGAAGGAAATCCCTAAGTTTCCACCCCAGACACCAGACAACATTTAAACTCACCTGGAAACGCTGATCGGATGTATAGGTGGTGCCGCCGGCGGTGAGGATATGCAGATCACGTTTGCGTATCCAGGAGACCTACAACGAAAACAAGGGATCGGAATGAAGTGCTTTTCGCAGTTGGCAAAGTTTCGGGAGCATTACAAATTCCGCACTTAAAACTTTTTTCCTCGCAACTGAGTTAAACGTGTTTTGTCTGCTGTTCCCCAAACACTCCCAGGAGTTGGGATGAGGTGGCAAAATGAAAAACAAAGCGCTAAGTTAACTTTCCTTTTATTTTTGTTATTTTTTTTCTCCAGTTCCGGCGTTGGTTAATCTTTAACATTTTGCTTTTTGTTACTGGCATTTAATCAGCAAACAAACAAAAAGCAACAGAGTGGGCTAGAGAAAACACACGGCAACACAAGGGAAAAATTGCCGAGTTTAAGCCGAGAATACATTTGAGCGTGAAAAGGCCAACATTACGTATACGCCCCGTTTGCCGGGAAATGAAAGATGCCCATACAAATGGCCCTCGACAATTGCGAAACTCTTTAAGCCAGACTGGTCGTAAGGTCAGTCTGTCAGTGGGTCGATGTCAATTTTGTCAAAGCTGCTTGCTCAGCGAGATTTCCAATTGTTTCAAATAGCCTTCAATCCTTTTTGAACGCCGAAGAACAAAAATAAAGGCAATGAGACAGCTTTGACGCCATTTTCAGCCTTTATTTGGGAGCATTTTTATTACGGCTTGAATTACATTTTCATTTGATTGCCCAGCGCCTTTGCCTTCGCCTTGGCCTTCGTCTTTAGCTGGGAAATCTTTTGGGGAAAGCCATTAACCATGATTTTCTGTGTCTCCATCGACATCCCACTTTTCCCAACAAAAAACGAACCGTGATTTCTTGAGAACCCAGCACAACCCACACACTTTGTCCCCTTTTTGGCACATTGTTTCCAATTTATTTGATGACCTTAGTTTCTGTTGTTTCTCCCCGGTCATTGTGATACTCAATTTTAATTACATGGAAAAAGTTTTCCTCTTCTGGTTTACTGCCCCATTCCCTAGGAGGAAAACTTTAAATGCCTACCGACTGTCAACATTAAATGTGAAAATATGCCAGCTCATTAATAAATTTAATTGCTCCAGCCCCCTGGGCTTTTAAGTTGAGTTGGCCATTGAACTATTTGGCAAACACTATTGGCCATCTGATAAATTCATGCGATTTGGGGTCTGAAATCGGGGGGCAGCCAAATGAAATCGGTCACGTAATACGTAAAAATAAAAATCATTCGCTTGTAAAACTTTTATGAGCGACTGCCGCTTTTACGCCCCTCAGGATCATAGGCAAATGGTCTCGGCCAAATGTAAATTAAGCTGCAGGAGGTGGGGCGAAAAAGGTCAAATCTCGGCTACATAGAAGGCGATTTACCCCTTCGCTATTGTCCCTGTAACACACTGCGTATGAGTAATGCCAAGGGGGCAAGGCAATTGCGTTTTCTACAGGCCATAAAAAGAGCTTGAAATGTACTGTAAACGCGACAGGCGGTGGCACAAACTAAATAACTATCGGAATGGCAACTTTATCGCAGTCCCTCAATTAGATATTCCAACCGGGCGGCACTTAAATATTTAATTCTCCAGCTGCAAAAAGGCGAAAATCAAAAGTGAAAAGTTTTACAACTCCAGCCAAGTTTGCAGCCAGATCCCCTGTCAAGAAGTTGTCCCAATCTCGGGATTTTCTCTTCGGATCCAAAAAAGGGGACAGCCAGGTTGCAACAGTCCCGTGAGTGTTGAAACTTTGCTCGGGGTATAATTTTCGTAATGTCTTTAGGTTTAAATAAATACCACAAGCATAGCTTTATATTATTTAACACTTTGTGTGTTCGCTGCGGCCGGAAACTTTCGCTCTACTTGCAGCACTCTTACTTTCCCTTTTTGTTTTTCTCTGTCATCTCGCAGGAAAATGCCAAATGAAAGAAGTTTCAGTTGAGGTTGCCTGTCTGTGTGTGTGTGTGTGTGTGAGCGTGTTTGTGCGAGCGTGTGGAAAACTTGGCGAAAATACATTAAAAACTTTGCTGACGCATTTTCTGCGTCTCTAACCAAGAGAGAGACTTTAGACTTGGCCCAAACCCGACAGAGCCAAAAATAGTTGCAGTCGCTTTGGCCGGGCTGCAGTTGCTAGTTTGTTGCCCCACTGGCTTTGTCCGAGCTTAGGAAATAGCGTGAAAAGTTCCATTAAGCTCTGTGGAAAGCGGTTCCAGTTCGGAAATTCCTAAATTCGCAAATTACTGGGGCTTCACTTAATGAACTTGATCCAAATTAAATTGTTTTTCTTTCGGGTATGACAATAAACAAATGAAGACTTCAATGCCATGGCAGCGTTGTGTAAACAAAGTTGTAAACAGATTTTGATTTCTGTTTCGCTTCTGTTTTTTTTTTGTAACCCCGAATTCTGCGAACGAAGGTTGTCCTGTCGGCATTAAAAAAAAGGGTTCGTTGCCTTTTCACAAAGCCTAAAACTTTGTTTAATATACTTTTTTACCAGCCGCCTTTTCAGCCGCTGGTATTACACGAGTAAATTGCTTGTGCTCATGTTCGCTGATGGAGCCGTGGAGGAGCGTTTATGAAAACATCGGCGGCACTCGGCGCGTAATAAATCAACAGTGAACGGACAATCCTGTGAAGTCAAGTTGAACAAGCGGATTCAACGCCAGCTTCCGGCGAGGGCGGTCGAAAACAAAACAACAGGAGGTTGGCCTCGGCCACCGAAGATACAAGTACTCTGCGGTAATATTATCTAATTAATTGGAATTTGGTGAAAACAAGTGCTATTTTGATCAATAAGATTATGTAATATCATATCATATCATATCATATCATATCATATCATATCATATCATATCATATCATATCATATCATATCATATCATATCATATCATATCATATCATATCATATCATATCATATCATATCATATCATATCATATCATATCATATCATATCATATCATATCATATCATATCATATCATATCATATCATATCATATCATATCATATCATATCATATCATATCATATCATATCATATCATATCATATCATATCATATCATATCATATCATATCATATCATATCATATCATATCATATCATATCATATCATATCATATCATATCATATCATATCATATCATATCATATCATATTATATCATATCATATCATATCATATACCGCGATACTTGAGTGGTCACAAATTGGTTGAATACAACTAGAATTATAGATAATTAAAATTAAACTTATGATTTAGGATTTTATGAAAACTTAGGAACTATATCATTTCATATAATAATCTTTAGTATAGTCAATATTTATATACCAAATGTTTTATATCTGCCTATGATATTTTTGGAAACCCTAGTAAAAAATACACTTCTTCTGATATTTTACTTTTTACCACATTTGCTCGTTAAATAGGTTTTTTTTCTGGAGATACTAAAATTATAATTTAATTTGAAACCTTCTATTTGGAGTACCAAGATCCTTGAAAAGAGTATGTAAAGACACGCAGCGAAAGCCGAGCACCGCTGGCCGTGTCAGCTGATATGGAAATGGCACCCATCCCGTTCCGTCCGGAAAACTCGCGGCTAACGAACTAACGGCACGGGCATAAATTACCCGGGGAAGCCTGCTCTGCGTGGAGTGGCGCATAATGGAAGCCAAGCGGCGGCAAAGTTATTTGCCGTAACTGTTACACTTTCAATTTTGAGTTTATGGGTGCAGTGGCGGCGCTTGGAGGGGGCTGACTTTGGGGCATGGTATGCCCATGCCCGCAGAAGCAAGCTTTTGCGTGGGCACCGACAGCGCGGTTCCAGTCTGTCAATTACAATTAATGTGGGCGACTTGGCTGCGGGACAAGTTTGTTTTCCAGCCAGCGCATGCTTAACTGCCCCCATTATGGCGTGCACCTTACCATAGAAAAAATGTCTAGGATTTTGTAACGAGGAGAAGATCGATAAAGTACAAGGCTTAGGAACTTGAGTTCTATATTATATCGGAAAGAGCGTTTAAAGCTGAATATATTGTCTCTAACAAATCAATAATCCAACTTCCATCTAAAATATTTATTATTTCAATGGTTATAATTTCCACTTATCTTACAAATATATTTATGAGTTTTCCTTGATCAGATAAAACCTGCCAATCATTTGTGTCAAAGCAAGCACTCCATGAGCTAAGTGACAGCCTGAGTGACCTCATAAATAATATTTTCCCCAAATACAAAAAGAAATCATAGGCAACCTCAATATTACACAGAAGATGTATTAAAATTTTTGGTTATTTTCGGTACACAACAGCCCAAAAACCCTCAAACAGATTGAAGAATGGAGTGCGAAAAATGTGGTGAGATGTTAAAAGCAGGTCTCAAGAGCAGCTTTACTAGTTTACCCCACCCACAGACATCACCAGCAATGCCGGTGACCATAGGCTGGATCCGACCATAGATGTGGAGGACCTCAAGACGGAAACCACCCTGGAGATGGAGATTGAGGAGGCCCTGTCCTCCAGTAGTGCCGATGACACCCCGCCGGGTATGATCGTGGTGGAGACCCGCATCAATTCCTGGGAGAAAGATCAGCCCATGAACAAGGAGGTCATCCCAGTGGATGCAGAGGGTCCTGAGCTGCCGGCCTGCTCCGTTTCTCTGGGCCTGAAGCCGAATGTCCAGTTCCAGAAACTGCCCCATCCTCCGAATCATCCCCTGGTCAGCACAGAGGCTGCTTTGGCCGCTGCCACATGCTCCGCTTATACCTCCGCCTCCCCGTCACCCAAACCCATGACCACGGAGTCCATTGCCACACTGCGCCACTGCATCGATGGAACCACCCAGTGCAATAACCTGGGCTACGAGTCGGTTTCCAACGATTCAATGCCCTCGGTGGGATCGCTAGTCTGTCGCATTTGTCACAACGCCGATAATCCCGAACAGTGAGTACAATTTTCAGGTGGCCAGGATGGGTAAGGGATAACGAATTTTGGTTACCCTGGGGGTTTAAATAACATACAACTTAGTTTATGATCCTAAAATATTAATGGCATCTTTCCGTTACTAAAAAAACCCCCCAAAAACAACATGTCCCAATTAAATCTCCTAATAATTTTTAATAATTCAAAAAACCTCTCTTTAGTACTCCCCAATCAACCCTGATATACCCCTTTTTGTAATATACCATTCCAGGGTGCTGTAACTTCCATTTAATTACGTACGTGCAGCCGCAAATTGTGCAAGAAATTAATTGCACGGCATTTAATGTATTTAGTGCAGGGCCCGCCAGCGAATGCATTTATTTATTTTAATTATTAAAATTAACACTGCAGGCAGCACCCACCCATCCTCATTTGATCCGGGGTTTTATAAATCACCTCGCTTCCCCCCATCGAGCACTTTATCCCTGATTATCTGGTTGGTTGTCGTTTTAATCCCCTGATTTCTCATTGTTGCCGCTGTTTACCCAACCACGCCCACTGAAACTTCCGACCGTTCCGCCCCCAATTTGTTTGCAGGCTCGTGTCGCCGTGTTTGTGCAAGGGATCGCTGACATATGTCCATGTGCACTGCCTGGAGCGTTGGATTAGCACCTCGCGCTGCACCACCTGCGAGCTGTGCCAGTTCCAGTACAACACGGAGCAGACGCTGCGGTAAGCTAAGGAGCACACTGGGAAAAAAGTCCCAATATAACGTACGAAAATTCCCATTTAATCTTAGTCTTCCAAAATATAGGTAAATGTAGATATAATAAAAGCTTTATTCAAACATAATCAAATGGTCGTTTTTGAAAAGATAATTTGTATCTTCATAAACGTTTTTAAAATCCATGGTCTCTAGTTTTTCGAAAAAGTTAGTTTTAAAAGGCTTTAGACTACAACAAATTCCAAGCATCTTAACTCAAACTTAAGTTGAGAAAGACAATTTACAGTTCTGTGTACAATTTGTAATTTCAATTTCAGGTAAATTGAACCTTCAATAAGTTAAAGTTACCATACCAACTTACAAAATAGATGGAATATATAAGAAATACTTGGACCTTTCGTATGCTCTAAGCATTTCTTACATCTGTAATCGATTTTTATAATATATTCTTTAAGAGATGCTCTTTTAACCAAAGTTAAAATGGGAAATGCCTTGTTTAGTAGTTTCGATCTCCTGAACTTTTAATGGGGCTATAGATTTTAGATGTCTTCTTTTATTACTGCCGTGAACTTGTAATATGATTTTAATGGGATTTTTTTCCGAGTGCACTAAGCAGATGGCACATGCCACAGGAAGCGGCGGCAGATGAAAGACGCCTGCGGCTCAGATCATTTTAATCAGCTGAGTTGGCTTTGTGGCTGTTTTTGCCTCTGCTCCCGTTTCTGTGGCAGCGACTCCTCCTAATTGCTAGCAAGGCTTTGTTAGCGGCTTTGTGTGGTTGTGTTGTTGGGCGGACTGTGCACTTCTCCAGCTTCCGTTGCAGGTATACCTGTCTGCAGTCGCTGCGTCTGTGGTACTCGCGGGCCATGAGTCGCAGGGCCCTGCAGGAGGACTGCCAGATGTTCTCGCTGCTCACTCTGGTGGCCTTTGGAATCATCGGGACCCTGCTGGTGGGCATCCAGTACTACGCCCTGCACACCCACTCCTGGGGACTGAGCAAGCTCTGGACCAAGTCCTGGATGCTCTTTTTCCTCTTCATGACGGTAGTGGGGATCTCGTCATTCCATCAATCCATGTCTAACCTAACCGCCCCCAGATCACCGTTTACTTTGCCAACATTTACATGCTGATCAAGTCCCAGCTGACGCCCTGGTATCGGTAAGATTATTAAGACCTACTTTGAAATACTATCATATTATACTATACTAACATATATGAAGTGCCGAAGTGCACTTATAAATAGTTAAAAGCCTCAAAAAATCAAATATTACCAATATTCATAAATTTTACCATAATTACATTTTCTAATCATAACCTCTAAAGTTTCTAGATCCATTATATATGTACCTATCCATTTACTTAGAATTTTATGGTGATATTAATATCATATCATGCTATTATATCATGATAATTTTTGGGATGTTTTAAAGTATTACAATTTTTATAAATAATTTTGTGCCTTATCATACAATATTTGATTTTACAACAAATTTGGATTTGTATATAGCTTTAAAGCTTTTCATGTTTAAGGTACCTTTCTTATTTACTTATAGATTTAATTTTCTCTTCCCTTTTTATCCCCATAGCTGGTGGCAGTCTGCGCGGGACATTAAGCTTATTCTGGAGAACCGACGGCCCTTTCCCAACCCAAGTCGCTTCCTGCGACCGTTTCAGATGGAGACAGCCTCGACAACAGCCTCCATGTTCACCCATCACGATCAGCAGGAAGTGCCCATGCCTAGCCGTGCGCCGGCCATCCTGATCAGCTCCAGCGAGGAGGAGGCGGAGGACAAGTCGGCCCACAAATGGGGCACCCGACTGGACAGCGATGTCCTTGCCGCAGTGGTGGCAGCCACCGTGGAGTCGATTGCTGACGCAAGTACCCGCGAGAGCGAGGGCGACAAGCCGACCGAGCAGCAACATCAGTCGCAGCAACAGCAGCAACATCAGGCACAGCAGCAACATCAAGTACAACAGCAACATCAGCTGCCTGAAGGAGGCAACTAAAAGGGCAACGACTAATACTGGACTGGGTCTCGAGGGGATGGGGTTAAGGATGGTTAGCGCTGAAGGTAGTGGGCGAGTAATTAAGCCTCAAGGGCAAGGATTTGGCCGGGCTTTCGTTGTTTGCGTGTCATTTGTTTAATGTAGTTTCAATGCTTTTAATGAACTTTCCCGATGAGAGCTCGAATTAAATGGGTAAACTTGAGCTAGCTGGCTGATGATGTAGGCCGGTAGAGCTACTCCTGTTCTAGTTGCTCTTCCTTTTCCTGTTTCTCGGCTCGTGCCTGCACTTTGGCTGCTTCCTTCAAGGCGCACAACTTCCGGTTTCCGGCCATAGCTGACGTCTTTCTTGACTCCACCCCCCCCCACCTTGGCCACCTTGAAGCGGGCAAATTAAAGCTGATAACACGGACGCACAAGGATGATGGCTGAGCCAGTCACGTGATTGATGGCTCATAAATTAGTCATTTTGCCAGGACAGAGCACCAGTCTATTTTACAGAGTAAGTGTGTTTGTAGGGGTTTTCGTTAGGGAAGGCAACTCTCACAGGACGTTGCTGGGTTGTCGCCTGTCTTGTTGGGCCATTTTTCTCCCAGTCTCGAGTGCAGCCTCGAAATCACCCGGTAATTTGGCCTACGTCCCCGTATCTTGCCAGGCTTATCCCTACACTTCCCTCTTCACATCCACACATACCATTTAATAACAGCACGAGTCCTGGCTGCTAATGCACACTGGTTCGAGGACCCAGGGTAGGGCCTGAATTTTGAATGATTGGACTATCTGTCAACACTGCGGACCACTGTTCATGGACCACTCCGCCTGGCCAAAGGGCTAATCCCGGCTAAGAGATGCGAGTCGGCCGCCCACCTAATGTGCCAGTGATGTTGACATATTAGGCCGGACCTCCCCCTCCTCGTTTGCGTATGAGGCCATATTTGGCAAGGGGTTAACAACCCACTGCGACCTTCAATCATCTGGCTCTGGACTAGACCGAAAACGAGACCAAACCAAACGAATCGAGACGAACCGGACCCCAATGGTTTGGTAATCACGGCCGGAATGATTGAGTGCCTGCAAATCCCAAGCGGAATTTTCATTTATTTTTCACAATTTCCATATGTTAAGCCATTGACTTTAGTACCCTGCTTTGTGGGCGTTTTTCAGTGCTAAACAGTCGGTTTTTCATCGGATATGCCAGAGGCAAACAAATTTGCGTAAAGCAATTAATTATATTTTTACATTTTAAATGAACCATTTTTTGATTGTGCAGTTTTTGTTTAATTAGAAAGTGTATTTTTAGTCAGTGGGGGTTTTTTTTGGTATTGTTTTGTATACACTTCAATATATATATATTGGCAATATATAGATTGGCAATATATTTAGAGTTACTTACAGCGTTTTTAATTAACCATCAAGTTGGATGGGTTCTTTTGTATTTATTTATTTTATTTAATGATAAATATCATAAAAACGTATTTAAAATAAAAAAAAAACAAACAAGCATATATATATTTTTTTTTTCTTATACATGTACAAATTAAAAGTCATACGTTCCAGCTCTTTATCTGTCAGATAAAGCTAACATTAAAAGAAAGTGTTTTTCAAAGCAAATTCTATCTTTCAATACAATGTTAATTTATCAAGTGACACAACTTTTTATATAAACACTAGGTGATATTAAATAGGAAATTAAATTTGTTCGAAAAAGCAGTTTAACTCAACGACAAAATTTAACTTGACATTGAGAAATAGGCCCTTAGAGAAGGTTTATTGGCCAGCTTTGTGTTGGTTAAGGCTTCATCAGTTCTTGGAATATTTTAGAATTCCTCAAAGAGTATTCACAGAGCGTTACCCCCCGAATAGCCAAAGGATTTTGCGATTTTAGCAAACTTTTTACTTTCTACTTACATCCTTATCGCCGAGCCGTTCCACGCGGCAGTGGAGAAAGCCGGTCTGGCCGACGGTTACGGTCAAGTTGCGCGGCACATCAAAGTCGAAGTAGGGCAGCAGATTGGAGGGCGAGATTGTTGTTGTCGTCGTGGTGGGCGGCGTGGGCGCCAACGCAGCGCTGTATCCTAGAAATAAAAACACAAAAAAAGGAGACGGGATGGAGGTCAGCGGATTGGTGCGAAAGCAGCGGCATAAAAACTTGTGCCAAATGGAAATTTATTTTCATTTTCATTTGCACATACGTAGTGACGTATTGTTGGTTTTAGCGCGGGCATTCAAATGCCCCGAGCCCCCAACGTGGCCGCAACTTTTGGTGGCTGCCAAAGCCCTAACTGAAACTGAAAAGTAATAAAATTCGCATAAAAATTCTGCTCAAAAACGAGGCTGAAAAACAAATAAATGAACGCAGACCAGGGATATATGTGTGTGTGTGGCACGAAAAAATCCTCAACAAACAATTATACTTTCTTTTTTATTTCTTTCGGCATTTTGTTTGCTGGAGCGTGAGTGTTTGTTGAGGTTCAAGTGAAGTGCTCGGGGACTTTAAGCCTAGCTGTTTCAAAGAATCGATTATCTCCCTTACATAAGCAAAGACATGGTTTACCAACGCATATTTGCAGAAAAATTATGCAAGCTAAATATATGACTTTATGAAAAATTCAAAGAGAAACTTTTTTCGCGGTAAAAAGTTTGTATTTCATAAATATTGCATCAAAGGGTTTTTAAAAGTATAATAATAACACTCATACAATTTTAAACAGCTTAATTTGAGTATTGACATTAATTAAGGCAAGCTCAAATTTTCATTTTAAGCTTTTGAAGAAGTCCTATAATCACAATTTTACAGAAGTATTTTTATTCAAGAAACCCATGTGAAAGTGGATTTAACTAGCCAAGTTCTGTAATCTTCATTTTAAGTATATTTGTTTCTTGTTCAAGTATATTGGTTTGTTTCAAGGGACAAAAAGGATGGACAAACTTATTTAATAAAAGATGTTCAGTAAATATCCCCCTTATTTCATGTCACTTCAGATCATAATAAAACATGTTCCTTCATTTCCTTGATCTAAGTACAAAATCAATAGACATAACATTACATAAAATACTCTTCGGGAAAATATATAGCCGCAATTATCTGTTCTTTTGTTTTCCGCCAAGCGAAAAGATGCTAATTATGATGGTAAAAGTGTTTTCCGGTCATCAGCACACTTTGGCAAGTTTATGGCCACGAAAAAGTTGGCCCACTAAATATGTCAAAGCTTTGGGGAAAAGTTGTGTCCATCGGTCCCTAAGAACCAAGTTAGATAACGGCATTTGGGGAGCCAGGAAACGGTTGAACTAAGTTCATCAATACGCGACGGGCGGGGCAGATGGGGCTCAAAGGGAATCAGTGGGAAAAAAGCTGGCGAAAAGTTTTGCACATCAAAGCCTGGTAGAAATCGGCGAAGATCGCATGCAGCCAACTGGAATACGAATAATTGAATGAGGCGATACGAGTCGAGCTCCTGCTGGCGTCAGTTTATCGAACTCTCCCTGGTCTGAACTCTAACTGGCAGCCAGGAATCAAGGACCTCCATCCATCGCCCCAAGACGGGGCAAAACTGCTGTTGCACATTTCCGTTTCCGCACGCGCTAGGCAAAAAAAAAAAAAAAAGAAGAGAGAAGTGAAAACTTTCGCCGGGGCACGCACACACTTTCACCAAAGCCAGCTGGAAGACATACGCAAACTTTTCACATGCGTAGCAATGTGAAAACACGAATCGACTCCGCCACATCCACGGTGGTTCGGTGGTTTGGGTGGTTTGGAGGTTTTGGGTGGTTTTGGTGCCTGTCGGGACATGACAAATTTTACGATTCACTTTTTGAAAAATTTTGAACACAAAGTTAAATTTAATGCGCACCCGCAACATTTGCGTACGTGCGGCTTTCCATCTTTGGGCAAAATGCAAAACATTTCGGAATAGATAATAATGTAAGAGGACCATTGAGGAAAAGTTTGCTTCGTTAATCGAAGCGGAGTTGCTCTTTTGAAAAAATATAATGTAAAGTTAGGAAAGTTAATAACCATAAACAGATTTGAAGTCCTTATGATGATTTTATTATTTATTTTGAGTACTTTTCTTACTACTTTTTAACATGACAATAAAGATAAGTCGTAAATGGAATACCATTTAGTTGAATATCTCGGCTAAGTTCTTTCATACTTGCATTATATCCCTCAAGGCTGAAACCGAAGTTCTTAAAACATTATTTTTTTATATTTTTATATTTTTTGTTATGAATGAACCAAATAAAATTTAGATACATTTGATATGTAAATTTCCAACAAAGCTTGCAAAATATCAATAATTTGGTGCATTGATATTGCTTGCTATAATTCTCCGAGGGTTGTATAACGTTGATAAGGTTTAAAAGCGATTTTCCAGGACATGTACCATCCAATACCCTTCAATCCACCACCCCCAACCGCAATTCACACCGATAGGTTACAGGGTATCAAAAGCGAGCGAAAATTAGCTTAGAATGTTGCACGTATGCGTGCGTGGCGCATAAACGGCGTGGAAAAGCGTGGGAAACTCGCAAAGCGGAAAATGGTGGGCAGGGCAGGGGTGCAGGGCTGAAGTAGAACTTAATTTATTGTTTATCAGCGAGCATGCAATTTATGGCCAACAGAGAAAAGATTTTCACACAAATTTTGGGGGCCCCCAACCCCAAGCTCACACATTTTGCGGGCGATGGGGAGCCTTGTGCTAATTTTAAGTTTATGCATGGAAAATTTGCTCACGCTGTGAAAATAAACGATGTGGCTGCCAGGAAATGCCTGGCCCAACTTGTCGAAGCCTCCAAAATTGTTGTTAGCCAGTTTGTTTGGCCCGTCATTCTGGGCCCACTTGGGCTATCGATAACAGCAACAGTGGCAGCGGATCCAAACCGAACCAAACGGCAGCTGGCGGCTGTCAGATTTTGGCTTTGGCTTTAAGCGTGCGCTTAATCAAAATCACAAAACGCTCGCCGCCTGCAAATTAACATGATGCATGGCCAATGGCCCAGAGGTCGAGCCCCTCAAAACTGTCATCCCGAAAACCCCTGAGCTGCGGTTAGAGGACCAAAAATATTTGCCGACTTTTCAACCCGAAAATTAGCAAATGTGGTGGAAAATGTTTGCGGTTGCGTGGGGCTCGCACGGCATAACATATGCATATTTATGGCGGCGATTTGCTTGGGACATAAATCGAAATTACCGAAAATCGATTGGCCAACTATTAAATCAAAGCCGCCTTAATTGAGCGTGAAATGTAGTGGAGGTGATATTATATGGCTTTGCCTTGAGGGATATATTGCCGATGCCTTGAAATTGAAAAACAGAAAAAACTTCAAGAGCCATAGAACCTTGATATCAAGAACATTTTTCTTTCCTTTTTACATATATTAAAATTGTTTAATTTTTTATTATAAATTTACAAGTATTGCCACTTCAAGGTAATGTTAAGATTTGTTTTAAACTATAAATCGAATTTTAACTTATCAATTAAAAAATAAAGATGTTCTCGATATGTAGTCTTTGATTCGCTTTTATAGTTGAATTTATGTTTTGATAATAACAATTGAAAACGCCAGATATCAATGAGAAGATAGCATTTTAATGGGGTTATTGCAACCTGACAGAAGGATGCTTGGCCTAGTTAATCCCAACTGAAGCTCAATATCAGCATGTGTGCCGGAACGGATAGGAGGCGAAAGCCAAGACTCCTTGAAGTGATGCGAGGAAGCCTTAGATTGTCCATGATCCCGGGCACTTAAGGTTAAGTTGCACTGACATCGCAATGAAGCTTTGAGTGGCAGTCGATGCACTCGACGGGGCTCTTTCTCCTCAACTTGGCCCACAAATGTCTAGACTGGAGAGAGAAGCCAAGGAGCTGGAGTCGCAGCTGGAGGTCCTTTAAATATTCCAAACTATCGATTATGCTGGCTGAGTGTTTCCGCTTTGGCTTCGAGTGACTGCATACAGCTAAATATTTGTGCAGCAAATGGCTCCTGACACTTTGCCACTCTATTTGCCGCGACAAATTAAATCAAAATTAAATTTGTCAGAAAAATATTGGGTATATAATCAGAGAAGTTCTGCTTGAATATATATATGCACAAAGTAACCAAAAGTCAATGGCGAATTGGCTCACAGCAGAGCCTTTTTTTTGCGTATTTCCCTTTTTTAAATAAATTCAAAGCTTCGTATTCTTGGGCGGCAAAGTTTTTTTTGTCGTGTGTCGCCAATTTTATGGCCTACAATGTCTGCCTGGCCCCGCCATTTCATCACTCAGCTGGCATTATAAGTGCCGCATTTGAAATTTATGATTATTTTCCTTTCGCTTTTCCTCGAACCCCGAATACCCAGCTAATGTGGTCATATGAATGCTTAAATACAAATACGCATACAAATCGGGGCAAACTATAAAAACCGTCGGTCATGACTCACAATGAGGCACAATAAGTGAGCGCGGCGACATTTTAGGCCATCATGTGTGTGGAAAACTGTGACTCTTGGCAGATATTCGCCAGATGAAAAAACTGGGAAAACTTCGTTAGACAACGATGCCAACGATGTCGCATTTCAATGAGCATAAAATCCCATGAAAATGTTGCAAAGATGAACCGCCATGCCACCCAAGTTTCATTTGCTCCCTCTGCGTGCCTCATTTAAAAACCGCCCGTTTTCGCATTTGCATGCGGATCACATGTCACGCAGAAAAAAACCCGAAAAAATCTGGAAACAAAAAAGGAACAAAAATTTTGGGGAAAAATCGGAAACGAAATCAGATAACGCCCGCTGAATGCTGCGACAAGTGACGGATGTGTCTCGTAAATGCTTCGTCGAGAGGCGATATCGTTGAGCAAATGAAAAATAAAAGTCCGAAATTATCTGCAAACTGAAATCGGTTTAAGGCGCCGCAGCTTACAATCAAAGGTGAGAAATGGGGTAAAGGGATGAGGATATTCCTCTATATATAGCCCGATATCCTTGTGGGAACCACATGGTGCACCCTCGAGCGTGTTGACAACGCCACCAGCACACATAATCATTTTCTAGGGCCACAAATGCTGGCGTTGGCAAGTTCCCATGCCGGGA